GACTTACACTGCCCAGGAAATACTACTCTCAGCACTAACTGACTGGACTTCTCAAGCCTTTCTCACTTTATCCAGTCCTACAGCTGCTCTTCCCAGGATAATGGCATAGACGGTTCATGGGTCCCATTTAATCCTCTGCCTTTTTGAGTCTGTGCATGAAGTACTAATTAGCTAACTGGTGTCAGTTCCAGCAGTGGTTACTTTTTTATGTGAACTCCTCTAAAAGGCGTGAGGGGACCATGCTCATTTCTTACTACACAATGCCTGCTTGGTGTTCTGTTAGCAATTTGTGCTTCCTATCACTTATACAGAGAGAAGAGAGTAAAAAGAGGCTAAATCTTATGCTCTGAGGCATCTGTTTCCCTCTTTTCCTGGAGTTTCCCAGAGTTACTGCTGTAACCTATTGCATTTTCCTGCCTGCAAGCATAGCTGGGGGGAAAATAATAGTTTTTGTAAAACTCAGTCTCTGCCTTCACCGTTCCAGAGTCTGCCTCCAGCTGTCTCTCCTAGCAGTATTGTTATAGAACAGGACAGGGTGCTTTTTTGCCAAGAAGGGTTTTATGAAATGCCAATTAAGTTAAAGCACCCCCTTTTCTCCTTTTTGTTAGGAGGGCTGGCCTTGCGCTTCTGCAGGGTTTACACAAACCCACATGATGCCTGTGCAGCTCTGTTCTAACCACAAGAATAGCGGCGGGTTATTGCTTCCATATGAAATGATAGGATTTATTTATAAGCAAATATAGTTGGTTCCATTAGGCAAGGATACATTTGATTCTTTTAGTGACCTAATTACCAAGAGCTTCAGTGCAGCACTTCTACCATTGATTCTGTGAGTTAAGGTCCTGGAGCATAATAAACCACTATGCAATATATTCTGCAGATCAGTGTTTAAAGCAGGGGCCTGGGATTCAAGACTCCTGGGTTTCCAGCTCTCGCTGCCTGACCTTTGGCAAGTCTTCCAGCCTCCGTTTATCGGGAAAAGGCAATAACCATCAGACTTCACTGGGCTGCTAGAAGATTTAGGATGACTACAATGTGCTTTGAGATCCTTTGATGAAAGGCTCTATTGCAGTATAAGTAGTGCTGCAATCACTTAGCAGCACCCATTCCCCCACCCCCGCTGAGCTGGCTGAAGCTTGGATCCAGGCCCCTGCTGTCTATATTAGGGGGCCTCCCTCTACCACTGATTCTTTGGAGCGGGGGGACTTTAATGAAGAATGGGGTTGGAGGTGGGGGGCAAGGGGAGACTCCCTGCAGTTTCCTTTTTCTCCAAAGGCTTTGATGTTAGCAATATTTGGTAGGTGAGCTCATCATAAACCCAGGTGTTTCCAATAGTGTGCATTAGGCTGGGGTGCTTGATCACACTGGGCACCTCACCTGCCATTGGGACTGGATTTATTTATTTGGACTGGACTTATTTATTTATTTCCCCACAGAAAGGCCAGAGGGGATTGGAGTAGGGGTCCAGTGAAGGGACTAGTCTTCTCATTTTGTTTCCTCTTGATTGGCAGGGTCCAGCATGGGGTGCAAAGGAAAAGTGTTCCACTGAGATGTACACCCTCAGTGGGGAATGCTGCAAGGCCTGCAACCTGGGAGAAGGGGTCGTGCAGCCCTGTGGAGCGAACCAGACTGTCTGCGAGCCGTGCCTGGACAGTAAGTACTTGGGGCTGAGAGCTCTGGGGCTAGGAAGAAATCCGCTGCTGCTTCTTTCAAGATAAGGAGAGGGATTAAAGTATTGAGATATAACAGGTCTTTGGACCAATAGAAGTATCCAGAAGGAAAAACATGAGGGTCCCTTTTGCACTGTCCAAACCTGGGATTTATTATGAATGGTCCAAGTTCTGAGTTGCTTACACCAGTGCTGGATTTAGACTTAAGCTGCAGTTTAGGGCCTTACAATATGAGAGGCCTCTAAATAAGAAAAAAAACCCTGGACACTTTTTTGTTCTAATATGACAAGACTATACATATATATGGCTCCATGGTTATTATTCATATTAAGTTCATAAACTTCTGTAGAAATAACAATAATGCATCTTAAAATTTCATGAAAATCGATTTTTGTGGACTTCGTGGATTTTTTTTTTTTGTATGGGGCCTCTTAAGATGGACATAGTTTAGGGCCTCAGCATGTCATAATCCAGCACCGGCTTACACTCTTGCTCCTGATACAGACCATTGCTGTCTGATGTGACTTCTGATGTGTTCAGTTGTATCTGCTTGCCTTGTATATCATTTAGACTCCACTAAAATCCCCTCTTCCCCAAATCATGGAGGAACAAACATTGGACACTTCTCAAACCTTGTAGATGGACAGTAGCTAAAGACACCTACCTGCTGCTTGTGCAGGCCAAAGGGGCTGGTCTTCCAGCATGTGCAACTAACTACACATGCAACTAATTTATGCATCCAAATGCAATGTTTCTATTTGGATGCGGCCCTGCCCCTCCCACCCATTTGAAATTCTGATCCTTTGAGTTTTTTCTTGGCTGTGCTTTCACATCTTACTTTCTCAAGGCCCACAATCCTCCCTGCAAACACTCTAAACTTTCCCCTATAAGCTTAATGGCAATTGCCAAATATTTGGTCTCAAGAACTGGGAAATATTCCCTCTTCTGTGCAGCTGTATGGATTGGACTCTGATCTGTTCAAATAGAGTAAGACCAAAAGTTTAATATGGGGATTGGGATAATGTAGCTTCAACATGACCAAGGGAACATATATTGTTTTATGATGGGTGATCTAAGACATGGTTTTTTTTTCTATTGAATGCTTCAAAAACACCCAGAGAGTATACACGCTAGTGACCTTGATTAAAAAATTTAGTAACAAGTGGGTTAGAGTATCATTATTTGTATAGTTCCGTAGCTGGTTCCGGGGAGTTTGTTGTCCAAATATTTGTTAGAGCAGACCATTTAAAGGTGCCAAAAAGCTGCTGTTTTCAACTGCTTACAGTAAACTTTGCACCCAGAACACTTGTGGTGAAAGGCCGTTGTACTTTTATATGAGGATTTGTTGTACTTGTTTTGTTTTTGGGCCCTGAGTGCAATAGAAAATGCAGTGGGGAGAAGAGAGAGCCCATCGGTAGTGGGAAGGAGACTTCCTGAGGGAGGAAAGGGCATACAATGAGAAGTAAGGCTGTCTTTTTTGTTTTGTTTTGTTTTTTTGTTTAACACCCTGTTCGAAAGAGGGAGTGTTGGCAAAGGAGAAGGTGCAGCAGATGACTTTTCTTGTCAGAGGGAAGAACTCCATGCCAGTGTAGTACTACACAGCGTTGGCTATAAATATCCACCTTCCTGCAAAATCAATGAATGCTACTTAACCTCTGAGTGAATGGCAGCAAGGACTCTGGATATTGAATACCAGGCCGACTGTCTGACCTTGGAGATGTGTGCTAGCCCTGTACAGAGTAGCCACTACAAGTCAGCGAAGCCAGCAAGGCCCTATCCTGAGGGTACGAAACATGTGACTGGATGGAGCCTCCTAAATCTTCAGGTCCAGTTGCTGGCTTTTTGCAGGCAACCATATGCTCCAAAATTGCCACTTCAAAGCCATGTAGAACATGCTAAACCTGTTTGCCTGGTAAGCCAGATGGGCAGTGCCTGGTCCATCTGCAGGCTACATCTGGCTGGTGGCCCCAATCCAATTCCCAGATTGGGTACAATGGGGCCTCATCTGGCCATGCGGGAGCCCAGTTCAAATCCAGCCACTCAAGGGGAAGAGGGCTCTATCCTGGCCCAATGTGGGGGGGAAGGGGGCATGGCTCAGTTTGGCCTCCCCCTTGCATGGGGGAGGGGGTGTAACCTGGCCCCAATCTAGATGTGTTGTGGGGGAAGGGGGCACAGCCTAGCTCTAAGCTGTTGCTTGAGGCTTGGGAACTTCACAGTGGGGGATGGTGGCAATATAAAATGTCACTGCTCCCCTACTGCCAAATTTCCTGACCCTTGGGGAGCCCCACAGGCCAGATGCCATGGTACTGCGAGCCATGTTTGGCTTGTGGACTGGAGGTCAAGCGCCCCTGATATAGACTGATCTGTGGCATTCTCCCCAATGGCTCACAGGGTCTCAAATTCATGCTGACTAGATGCACACAGCCTCTTGCATGTGATTTCCTGGGTCTGCACAGCCCACTCATGAGTCCCCAGGGCCCCCTTCCTAGTGAAGTGGCATCTACTTCATTCTGCTGGGAGCTGAGGACATATACCAATGGGGTGCAGGCAGGGTCTTTGGGATTTATGCCATTCAATGCTGAGGCTCATAAGGACTAGCTGAAGGGCTGTATAACTCACCATCATCTCTAAGGACCATCGGAATGCATGAAGTGTGCCACTGAAATCCCAAGAGCAGGGAGATAATATAATATCCAACTGCTGTAGCCGGGGTTTGCACAGAGGTGTAATGATTTAGTTGGGTGCCCAGGGCAGCTGCCACACATGGGTGCAATGCAGGGGAGGGGTAGATCCAGAGGAAGTGCAGCTGTTCCCCATGCTTTGGATTGGAGTGCACTACAGGAGCTTCCAAGGACTTTAAGTCCCCAAAGCAGATGAAAGCCTCCCCACCACCCACCTGCCATTCCTACTTTCCCTGTTGTCCCAGGGAGTGGGAAAAGCTCCAGAGATGTTTCTGCCTGCCCCAGCCAGGCTGAAGAGTGGGAGGGGCAATGGCAATATATGGTGAAAAAGTAGTTTTTTCCTTTCCTGTGTGGTCCTCTGGGAGCAGGCATGGGGATGGGGTTTCCCCCTGCCCATTCCTGCTGCTACTGTTCAATTCTGTCCTCAGCCAAGTACATCCCCCCACACCCCCTGCAGCCTGGCTGGAGTGGGCAGAAGTGGTTCTGGAGCTCCCCATTTTCCCCAGGACAGTGGAGAAAGCAGCAGCAGGTGGGGGAGGGTATGTGCCTTTGAGCATGAAGGAGAAGGAAGGAGGGGTTTTCACCAGAATTGGGGACTTAAAGAAGTTCCTAGAGGTGTTCCTGCCAGGAACAGTGTGAGTGGGTTGCGGGGTGGAAGCAGGAGGGTGCAGCCACCCCTTCAGTGTGAGTTGCTGTTCCCACACCCTCCTTTAGGAAATCCTGGATCCAGTCCTGGAACAGTGGCCACTTTTGGCTGCCGCCACATTGTTGGTGCAATTGTACAGCTGTGGTGACAACTGGTTCCTCCCCCACAAGTCAATGCCTGAGGTGGCTGCCTCAGTTACCTTGGCTTGATTACACCACTGGATTTGCACTTGCTAATATGCCACCCCAAGTGGGAGCATGATATGGCTGTCTCAGACCTGATACACTAGGTTCTTCTAGTCTTGTGCTGGTCTCAAGGACATCCTTTAGTGGCAATGATTTATGGTACAGTTATGAGAGCCCAGCCAGAACTACAGATGGTGCTGACCTTCCAGAGAGATTCCTTACTGGCCAGTACCCCTGCTTTTCCAACTGATCTAGGAACTCTGGGCTATTAATGATGGAGGGGATGGGAGGCTCACCTTGCGGAGATCCAGAAGATCTTGCAAAAAGGGAGCTAAGACTGTGTGACGGCACCAAAGTCCACAACAGTTCTGAGATATGGGCAATAAGCCCAACCCAGGCAGAGAGGATCAATGAGATTAGATAAATACACCAGTGCTGGAACAATCAACACTTGGAAAGCCATGGCATTTCCTTCTTGGAAATAACAAAAATAAATAATGGTATTGAAGGAGGATGGGTCAAACAGGTTGTTTTTCCTGGGTGTCATGATACTGGAAGTGCAAGTGGTTTGTCGGTATTGTACTGCTCCTGGGAATCTCTCCCTGGTGACTGGGAGGTGTGTGCACCCATATTAAATAGGTTCTGTCAGCTTGTCCACCCCTTTCTTCAGTAGAAGCTGTCTGGTCCCTGTGGCTCATTTGGGTCAAGAGGGTGTTAACTGGATCCATATTTGATCTCCTTGCAAATGGAGACTTTATTCTAAGGACTCTGAGACTGGCTGCTGCTTCTCAAGGAGGTTCTCTGCCATCCCCAGTGGATGGACTTGAGGAAACATCACTTGTTGTTATTAGTAATAGGGACTCTGTTGTGACGAGTCCGTATGCTTAGGTTGTCACAGGGCAAATACAGGTCAGTCTGATCCCAGAGATGCAGACCTAGAATTTGGAGGAAGAGCAAATAATTTCTATCCCAGGAATAAGAGGGTTATGTGAATATAGGAGCTGTTGGCAGGGGGAGGGGGGCAAGAGGTTGCAGACAGGGCAGTGAATGCATAAGTCTTGTATCACAGCTGTGCATATGCAGGCACACATGCTTCTGTATTGGGCCTCCCTGTACCAAATGGTCCAGATAGGACCCAACAGTAGTTGTAACCTGAGGGAGTTGCTCTATACCACCACCAGCAGAAGTCAGTGCTGTGGTGCTATAAGTCCTGGGGAATAAACGTGTGCAAAGTTTGCATGCTGCCCTCATATACCATAGCTATATTGATGTCATGCATCCTGCTGGCTTTTGCGTGCAGCAGTGGCTATGTGCGCGTGGTACACTGCATACCAAGGTCATGGATTCTTTCACATGTCACTTATAATCATCAAAGACGCATGCTCCTTCACCCGGGTCCCACTCAGCTTCAAGTCAGTTCTATTCCCTCAGTCCCAGGGCTGCTCAGTGCAGACTATTTTCTGCAACCTTC